TTCCAGTGGCCAGGCTTCCTGCAGTTATAACACAAATAAGATTCAGGAGGGGAGTCACTTACTTGTGGCTTTCCCTTGGTTGGCCTTCTGACTGAGTCAGCCTTCTTGAAGAACTTCTTGAACTTCCGGAATTGCTTGACCATCATGGCAAATTCCTCATCGTAGTTCTCCATTTTTGAGCTTGACGGCTGGCTGGAGGGAGGTGTGTCACAGCTTCTTGGACATGTCCCTTCACTTGATGGGACTCTTGGAGTTGTCATTAGTGCCGTGGGGAAGGGAGTGACTTGTTCTTCCTTCTTCTTCTTCAGCTCGTGCTCATAGGTTCTGAGCTCATCAAGAAGACCCTGGACAGTGTAGTTTTCCAGGTTTCTTCCTTCTTCCATGGCTGTGGCTTTGGTGTACCACTCAGTTGGAAGAGATCTCAGCAACCTTACATTCTTTTCTTTGAGAGAAAGAACGTGGTTAAGTGAGGCAAGATCATTCAAGATTTTGTGGAATCTTTCATCCAACATATCGAACGATTCTCCGGGAAGCATTTTGAAGCCTTTGAACTTCTCAAGCAGAACTTCTATCTTCTGCTTTCTCAAGTCCTCTGATCCCTCACATAGCTTCCCAAGACCTTGCCATATCTCCATGGCAGTCTTGAGATGCTTGATTTTGGAGAAGGTGATGGGATCAAGTGTCTTGAAGATGGCTGCTTTGGCGATGTTGTCCAGATTGTGCTTTTTGCAATCTCTATCATCCCATTTTTCCTTGGGCTTTGGAATGTACTGGACTACGTCTGGAGTTGCTGGATTCCTCTCAGGATTCTCCATTTGGATTTTCAAGGGTCCATCCTCAAGCACTATCCACATGCAATCATGTAGAGCGTAGAGGTGTGCTTCCATCATGATCTTCCAATCATCATAACCTAGAAGAGAAAACTTGGGCAAACCGTGATCCATATTGTTCATCATTTTGATCGCTTCTCGTTAATCTAAACGTAGATAGTGAGAAGTTTGCTCTGATACCAATTGGTGGTCCCAAAGTGGTGAGATACAAAGTCTAGAGGGGGGGGGGTGAATAGACTTTGTTACAAATTTAAAATCTTTTTCGTTTCTTTTGAAAATGTGAAAATAAGTGTTAATCTAGAGTTCTTGAGAACTTTAGATTGTGTGCGGAATTTGGTGGGTAGAGTGAGCAGTAATCAATATGGATGGGTTAGTTTTCACAGTTAATGTAATTGCAAGTAAGAGTAAAGATAAAAGAGAGAGACACGCAAACTTTAACGAGGTTCGAAGGTGGGGTAATCCTTCTACGTCCTCAAAATCCACTATGTAGTTGGTTGTTGAATAATGGACCAACAATTACACTTGTGTGAATTTCTGCACGGTATATCTTCACAAGACCAATGTTGCTACTGCACTCGTGCTGGCTTTGTTGTTCCTTCGAAGGTCAAGCTTCTTCAACAACTGCAAGATCCGAACAATAGGACTTGCAAGATCAACTTGTAAGAGAGTTGACCTATCCCCTTTTCAATCAATAAGTTTGATCAAAAGTAATATCCTTCAACGTGGTGTGGTGCTTGAGGCAAGGAAACCTTCAAGTGTTTACCCTATAGCTTTTTGGAAGGGGGAGAAGTTTGCTTCTGGATAAGGAGTTTAGAAATCTCTCTTTATCAAGCTTTTTGGGCTAACTGTGAATGAGATAGTTTTTGTGATTGCTTCGTTGTGTTGTTGTATCTATTGTCTTCTCTCCAGTCTTCCAAGGATGCTATTTATAGCTGGATTGGATAATCTATCCGTTGAATCATAATAGACTATCCGTTGCATTTGCTGGCTTCAATTTTGAATGAAGATTGTGATTTGAAGATTCTCCTTTGAAGTGGGTGTTTGGACGTACCCAAATGTTGAGAAAGGATTCCTTTTTCCACAAAATCCGTCTTCTAGCTTTTGTTCAAGAATTCAAGACTGTAGCACTTTACTCTGTTTGTCTTCTAGTGCTTGTTTAGGAATTCTGGGCAGGCTTTTTAATTTTAGAGGCCCAGACTTTGTCTTCGAGTAATTTGTTCTTGAATCAGCATAATTATCTTCAATCTAGCCGTTGAAAATCAAGAGATTGATTTTTCCTTGCCAACGGGTAGAATTTCTTCATTCAGGACTTAGATAAATTTTCTAAGTCTTTTCTCACTTGTCCGCTTTCTGAGAATTCCGGTCTTCAGTGAGTCTTCCGATTCTTAGCTGACAAATCCGGATGAGTCATTTTCAGACTTCCGGATGAGAAAGAGATCCGCGCTAGTCTTCCGATTTGGATGACTTAGCCTTCAGCGGGTTGTACCGAGACATCTAGTTCTTATGTAGTCTTCCGGATCTGAGAATTTTCATCTGATTGAGAAATCCTTACTTGTCTCTGATACTTCCGATCAAGATATCCAATTTTCATATCACTGAATTTGATTAAGTCTTCAGGCATCAAAACTCTTAAAGAAATATCACAGTTTTATTGGAAATCTCAAGAGCTCGGTTTTGACAATATTTCTAAAAAGAAAAATTACATTTAATATTGGGGGAGACTTAAAGTCCCTAATACATTCTAAATACATCATCATCAAAATCTATAATATTTTTCCCAACAATTTCCCCCTTTTTGATGATGACAAACAAGTGTTTAAGAGTTCCGGTCGCTGTACTGAGAACTAATTTTATAACTTTCTTTTAGTTTCTCATAATATACAGCTTGTTAACAAAAACTCTTAAACAAATACAATTCAAATTACAATAATTCCTAAACCAAGT